GATGTCAGGAAAACCACACAGGGGAGTGGCATGGTTTCACTATCTAAAGATCTGACTCCTCACAGAAACACAGATAGAGAGAATGAGTTGCAGACACGCCATCTCTAATGTGAGCCATCCACCAATGCCTGGGAGACGATAAGGAGAAGAAATGGCGCATGTTTTCCTAATGCCTCCATCTACAGTATCATTTTCTCTCAGTGCTTTAATTCTGCTTTAATTACATGATCCACACGTCTTGATGTCGTTCAGGAACGGTGGTTTTCTCAGTATGAGATAAAATACAAGGGCGCATAATTAGTAAAACATCTTCCATTTGGAGCCACATTGTCACAATACTTTTTTTCTGACGGACATTTTGTTTCGCTGTAACACCTCCTTCCTACTCCCGCTGAGTTATTATTCTAGCACTTAATCACGCTGACCCTCACAGACAACCATCCCTGGCAGCCCAGATTTCCCTGGGTTACAGGACAAATAAACACTAGCTGGATACAGGGTGCCAGGCAGGCTGTGATGATGTCATCAGCTCACCTTTGAAAGTACACAAGTCAGAAGATGGCCTGCAGACACACAGACACACACACACACACAGCGCTATGGGCAGATGGACAGACAAGCCGAACAATCACCCACACTGATGTGGCGCCAAAATGCCGTGGGAACTAAATTATAAAGACATGGCAAACAGAGACAGACAACCAGCAGAGCCAGTTGAGTGCGGCTTGAGCTTTTGTTGTGTTGCTCCTCTGTTATTAATAATTATCTACCTGTGCATGTCTCTGAATGTGTGTGTGTGTGTGTGTGTGGTTATGCCAGTGCTGTGGTCTGCAATAGAGATATGGCTACTGACAGGGTCTGTTGCCAAGATCAAGCGACACACACACACACACACACACACACACTCCAGTCTAAGTACACAAAAGAATAAAACTGGCTACATGAATGAGCAGGCAAGAGGGTGGAGACAGCAGCAATGTGTGTCACACAAGAAATCTGACACACACAAAGGTTTATGTGTGTCCACTTATTTCCATTTCCGTCCCTTTCCTTCTGAATGGGCGGGGGGAATCTCCCTGCCTT